ATCAATATGATAGAATAATTGTTTGGTTGTACCTCAAGGATATGATCGACCATTAATATCTAAAGCTACTCTTCATAAAATGAAAGATTGAAAACTTAATGCTTTAACTTTGTCTTGAGGCTTTTATCATTCTTTTACTATGAACATTTATTTCTAAATTTATTTTCATCAAAACTAATATTTAGAGAAACTTGATTTCACCGTTTAAACGATTATTAATATTTTTAATAGTGAACTCTTCTATATCATTAAAATAAAGGTATAAAAATATGAAATATACTATGGTAATTTGGCTTGGATCAATCTTTGAATATTGATATGAAGAAAAATTATAAGATTAGATTTAGTATTTTACATTTGAAAACACAACTTTATTTTGATTCTATTGAGATTTTATTTGGGCAATCAATTTAAGATTGATTACTTTAAATACTCTCCATTTTCTTAAACAGCTAAAAATAGGAATTCACTTTTTGCTGATTTGTTTTATTTGTGACTAACTCAATGAGAAGGCTGAAGGACCCAGACAAATTAGTAATTTGGAAGATTTATTATGCATTTTTTTTTAGAATTGAGTGTATAATCTATTATTTTTAAGATTGTATTTTTATTATCAACTCAATGGTTTAAGTTATTGCAGGTAAAATAAAGATCGCAAATTGCTATCCACTTATATTTCACTACTTCAAATTGTATTTTAACTATTTTGTGAAAATTATATTAATACCAGGTGCCGCCATACACTAAATTTAGACATTTAACCTCTATTAGTTACTTAAAACAAATCCAAGTTAATGAAAACTAATTAATAATGACGATATCAGATAACGTTTAAATATGCTTGACACCGCTCTAAAATCAAAATTACAAAAAAAAAAATGCCATAAATTAATTATAAAATATCAATTAATGTAATAATGTTAGAAGAGAAAGATCGATAATTAGTTTAAAAATTGGGACACCAAAATAGTTATTTTTAAATTTATTAGCTACTTTTTTAAGAATAAGAAATGTGAATTTATGGCAAGAATATTTTTTTTTTTAAATAATATTAACAATTTTAAATTTTCTGAAAATATTAAATCTGTTTTTCAAAATTGTTTAAAAAACTAATGAGAGACATTAAGTCAGATAAATAAAATTATAAAAGAGTGTGTATAGATATGAAATTATAAATCTGAATTTAAATAAAGAACTATTTTAAATTATTTGAGATAAAATCCTTATTCTGTCTATTTAATTATCAACCGTTCATTTTTTTTTATTCAGTATCAACCGTTCATAAGAACTAATAAAAGGGGTTGTGTTTGTAAGATAATTTAGACCATACCTTTTCATTGATTTCATAGTCATTTATATATACAATATAAATATGTGGTTATGATTCTAATAATCATTTATAATCAATACTAATAATAATTTTTCTTTATTTTCATATCTAATACACTTCCCTAGTCGAAACTGGAGGTGAACGGATATTGATACTGTCACGAAAGTCATCAAATAGTTGCAACGTAAGTCTTTTTGTGAAGATGTCAGCAATCTGAAAACACAGGGAAATGTGAAGAACGCTACTTGACCGTAAACAACTTTCTCATGCACGAAATATATATCCATTTCAATATGTTTGGTACTTTGATGTTGATCAGGATTATCGGAAAGATAAACCACGCTGATGTTGTCACAATATATCATAGTAGCTTTTGTGACAGGACAACATAGTTCTAAGAGTAAGTTGTGTAACCAACATGATTCAAACACAATGGAGGCCGGAATCTATGGTACCATTAATGTATCGAATAATGTGTTTCAAGGCAGACATGTGTTGAGTTTTTGGATCATGCATAAATAAACACACTTGTTAAACTGCATATGAGATGTCTGGTCGAGTGAATGTCAAGTATTGCAATGTTCCGGCAAGGCTACGATATTCGGTTGGATCTATTGTAATATATAATTTTTGCAACTGATAATTAAAACAAAAATTCGGAGACATTCCAAATGCATGGAAAACAACAGCGAGGTAAAAATGAAACATGTATCCGTCAAGTTCAGCAAGATCAATGATCATATACAAATCCAACAGTTTCCTTCATTATCAATAAGGTTTGGTCAACAAAACCTTCATTGGTCGAACTGAGTCTGAATCTGACACTTTCTAGATGCTGCAAATGTTCATAAAATCCAGAGGTATTATTACCAATTCAGAATCTCAATAAGAAAATCAAGAAATAATACTTATAATATATGCCACGGAATTTGGCATTATGACACACAGTAAATGTTTCAAAATTACTAGAATTATATGCAATGAGGGTCTTTTGTTTGTAAACACCATTGTGTAATAACAATATTATTCTGATGATCTAGTAAAAAGACGGTATTCTCTGATGATACAGCTCACGTTTGATGCAGACTCACAGCAAAATGAAGCAGACATATCACTAATGATATCTCATGATAACAAGAATCTCTATGGAAACTATCCATTGTTTGGTACATTTGCGTCATATAAAATCTCTAAGGCTCTCCTCCATTTCAGTCACTCAGTTTACATCCCCTTCTATTTCTCTATCATTTTGTATTATGAATCCAAAATATTTAAGCCGCGTGACTTATAGGATGATATGGTCAATTTTCACCTTTAGGCTCTAGGTTAAAAACGCTTCTCTTTTTGCTATGTTTACATTTCATACATTTCATTTACTCCATCTTACTTCTACTTAGGCAAAAGTCATGCTTTTCTAAGACTCATCTCCAAGTCTCCAACCTCTTAATCCTCCTTTGACTCTCCAAGTAAGACTATATCATCTGTAAAAAGTATACATCTCGGTGCTGACTCTTGGATGTATTTCGCGAGTACATTCAAAATTAAAGTAAAAAGGTAGGGGCTTAGTGTTTCCTTGTTGATTGAACCTTGGTGCAATTCTATTATAATGAGGAAATCGTCTGTCTCTGCACCCTGTGTTCACACACTACTAGTCCATCTGATATTTCTCCATCACACGTCTAGTAGATAAATCACTTTCACGGTCGATCTCCCAGACATAAAACCAAATTGATTCTCAACAGTTTGAGTCTCTTTTCTTAGTCTTCGTTCAATCAGTCTTTCTCATACCTTCATGATATAACTCATATGTTCAATCCCTCGATAATTTGCACAATTTTGTAACCCCCCTTGTTCTTATAGTTGAAACTAAAGTGTTTATTGTCCATTCATCCAACATTTACTTTAACCACGAAATTTTGTTAAAGAGTTTGGTGAGTCACTCAATGTCTCCAAGAATTTTCCATATTTCAACAGGTATGTTGTATGGTCCAACCGTCTTATTATTACTCATCCTTTTCAATGTTTCTTTTACTTCTTATTTCTAAATCCGACGATAGTAATTATACTTCCGATCCTCTTCTCTAATGTTGAATCTATTAAAGTCCGATGAGATATCATAACCTTTATTAAATAAATTGTAGAAATACGTTTTTCACTTCACTTGATCCAAGACTTTGTCTTCTTCATCATTGATACACTTCACTTGATTCAAATCTCTTGTCTTTCTTTCCCTTCTCTTAGCAAGTCTATATATAGATTCCCCCACCACCCCCGGTTCCTAAAAGTTGGTATAAACCGCCAAAAACATAGGTTCTTGCTTCACTCACCGCCTTCTTGATCTATTTATTAACTTTCTTATACTTTTTTTTTCCAATTTTCAACATTTTTACACCTGAACAATTCTTTAAAACATTCTTTTTTTACTCCAAATTTACTTTAAACACTTTTATTCTATCACCACAATTTTTTACCCAAGTCCAAAACTTTTTGATCCTCCCAACATCTCTTTAGCTACTTTTCTAATCTTTTGGGTCATCTTATTCCACATATTGTTTGCACTTGCTTGTGGTTGTTCGAATTCTCCCTCCAAGATCTTGTGTTGGAAACTCCCTTATTTTCACCCTTCAAATGCCATTATTTGATTTGTGAAACTCCAATGTGATTTATTCCTTTCTCGTTTTGACTCTTACATCGTGTTAGTAATAGGCAACTTATTTTATTATTATTAAATATTGTGTGTTCAGTAACTGCTTTAGATAATCAGGATTATAAATATAACGTGAAATGGAAAAGGGAATGGATCAAAGTGTACGATCCAGGCATAAGTCATTATTTTTCACACCTTGCTCTAGCACTCTACTTCAAGTTATGGGACCCTGGTGGACATTTATGTTATCCTTCGTCTTCACCTTGGAGGACTAAGTGATAGTTTAGGAAGGAAGTATGGTGGACATTTATGTTATCCTTCGTCTTCACCTTGGAGGACTAAGTGATAGTTTAGGGAGGAAGTATTGTTAGTAATAGGCAGTTTATTTTATTTTTATTAAATGTTAAAAATAACCAATCCTTTAATACTTCTTGGAGTAAGTTAAAAAAATTTACTCTTGAAGTAAGTTGATTCCCAAAAGGAATACTTCTGGTGAGCTAGATCACTGAAATTGATCAGACCATGACATAACAACAAGCCCATCATCATGGACTTATTTTAAATTGATAGTACAGATTCTAAGAGCTAATCAAGTATTACTGGTCAAAGATATTGTATACAGTATAAACATGATGATATAGTACACACTCAACAGTGTTATCGCTGAGAAACTTTCAAAATTATGTCAGGGTTACAGTTATATCAAACTTCAGTTACATTCAACGCAAACATGAAGGATTGAATGCCAACAAAGAATGACCTTATCAAGAGATACTATGCAACCAATTACAAGAAAAAGAGAAGGTTTGAATATTACCGGGACCAGAATATTCGCACATCTTCCTAGTTTCCAAACTCTAATTTGGTGTTGAAGATCAACTTTCCCCTCAACACAGGTCTTCTTGCTTGAGTTTCAAGGACAAAATCATCATTCTCTCACACCCTTACCCGCCCATTTCTTTACTTCCTACCTATGTGCATTTGACTAACATATATTTGACCCTAATGAAGTGCCTGAAGTGTCTACTTCAGATCCTCATACTCATTTTGTTTTAGACCAGCATGAGTGAGAGGTTTGTGAAGACTACCAACAAGTGCGGAAAAAACTCTATCATCAGGTATTAGGCCCATTTTTATCATCTCATCATACAACTTAAATGCTTCATCTGCTCTCCCCTCCTTGGATAAACCTGAAATAAGTGATGTATACGTTGCGACATTTCCAGTTATCCCCTTTGACCTCATCTCATCGAAAATTTTAAGCGCCTCGTCTACCCTGCCAACAATACATTCCCCGTGTATTAGCGATGTGTATGTATACACATCTGGCAATAACCCCTTGTTTATCATTTCAGATTTTGTCTTCTGTGCTAGCTTCACTTTTTCTTTCTTGCAATACACATCAATGAGAGTGTTATATGTAACAATATTAGGCACTTCTCCCTTTTTCTCCATATCCCTAAAGAACCTCTCAGCTTCAGCAAGGTTTCCTTCCTTGCAATATATCTCGATAAACATAGTGAAAGTCACAACATTTGGTTCCACTCCTTTCTCTACCATTGAATTTAAAGTACACTTGGCTTCGTCATACCTATGCAATTTACATAGCCCATTTGCAAGAATGTTGAATGTAAACACATCTGCGTTGAATCCTTTCCTTTCCATGATCGTTTGCAGCCTCAAAGCTTCATCCATCATTCCTCTTTTGCAGTAGCCATCTATCATCGTGTTAAATATTATCATATTTAGGTCAATTCCCTTACTTTGCATCTCTTCCAACAAGATTTCCGCAGCTTCCATTTGACCAGCCTTACACACACCACCAATCAACGCGCCGTAAGTATGTGCATTAGGAGCAACATTTCTCTGAGTCATCTCATCAAACAACGCAAATGCCCTTTTCATATTTCCCAACCTACAATTCCAACTTATCATGGACGAATAAACATAAACATCAATTTCTATTTTTCTTTCACGCATTTCCTCGAATATCTTCTCCGCTTCCCCAATATCACCAGAACTAGAATACCACTGAATCAAAATACTATAAGTCGCCACACTAAAAACAACCGGCTCCTTCTCCATCAACCTCAGTATCTCACAAACTCCACTTCGATCCTTTCTTCCAACATACGCATTCAACAACGTATTGTAAGTAAACACAGTCGGTTTCACAATGCTTTTAGTGACCATCTCATCCATCAACTCCTTAGCTTTCTCAACCTCTCCTCTCTTACACAAGCCATCAATCACAAGTGTCAAAGACTGAACCCTAATTTCAATTCCATTAGACTCAACCATCCGGCGGAAGAATCCAAGACACAACTCAATCTCACCACATCTCTTCAAAGCAAGCAAAAGCACAAAACAAGACCTCTCCTCTATCACGAACCCCTTTTCCTCCACATAATCAAAAACCCTAACCGCCTCTGGAAACAACCTATTATCAGAATAAACCCTAAACAACATATCACAAAGCTTGTCAACAAAATGAAACTCAAATTCATCAAGCAAATCAACGATCCCCGAAACTGGGGAGCAAAATTGGGAATCAGTAACAACGGAATTCAGAATAGTCTTGATGGTGGCGAATTTGCGAGCTTTAAAGAGTCTAGAAAAGAGAATCAAATGGGCCTTGAGGTCGGGTTTGAGTGAATGGTTGGAATGATGGGTTTTGAGGAAGTGGAAAAAGGATAAACAGGAATGTGGTTGGAGAATAGGGTCTGAAAGAACACGGTAAGTAACATGGGGGGTGAAGGTGATGCAGGAAATGATGGAGTGAAGTTCGGTGTTATTGGGTTTGAAATAGTTGGAGTTAGTTGAATTGATGAGGATGTGGGTGATTTTACGAGCAACTTCATGTTGCTCTTGGTGCTGCTTTGAAGGAAAAGACGCACCTTTCTTGAAAATTCTTAAAAGGGTTTTCTGAGAACACATTGAAATTAACAACAACAACAACAACAAGAGTAGTTTCAGTGTTCAGAGTTCAACGAAACTGCGAGGAGGTTATGTGGAACCGTAGGGTATCTTCCAAAGATATTTTCCGTTAATTGCACTTTTGTCCCTCTATCTAGTTTTAAATTTGATCTAAAGAAAATTTATTATATACTTGCATGCTTAAGAATGATTTTTACGCAAATGATTATAGTTAAGGTGTTTGAAATGATTTTGAATAATCAAAATAACTAAATAAATAAAAAATGTTATTTTTACTCATAGATATAATTTTATTTTAAAGCTAAATTAGTTCTCAATATTCTTTTATATATTCTGGTTAAACCAAGAGGTTGGTTTAATCGAGTGGTTTATTAAATTTCTCTTATGTTGGTAATAGGGTGATATAATTTTTAAATGAAAAATTATATGGTTATTTAAAAAGATCCACTTAAATTTGATATTATTTAATTATTTATTTTTTAATAGTTGTTTTCAATGATTTTAATCAAAGTAATTGACCCAATGAGTTATTAAAAAATAAATGAATTTAAATTCGTTAGTTAGAAACTTTTTTGAATTAGTATTTTATTATTCTTTTAAGAGAAAATTATTTTTTATTTGAAAACGTATATTTGTTTATATAATATGATTAGGTTAGTAAAGTAGTAATAAAACTTAAACGTAATTGATTAGATAAACGGTCCGATAAAGTCATAATTATGGACGTAGTTGAGTTTGTATTAACTTAAATAAGTTGTGTATTTTAAAAGGTTGAAAGTGTGAATCAGATATGAGAGTTCGCCGAGAGATAGGCCGTGCTCGTGTAACGTAAGTTGAACATGGGAAAGCTTGCTAAGGTAAGGGAACTTTCTAACGATATTATACGTGATTGAATGCATGTGTGTTGGTATGAATGATTGTGTGCCTAATTGAGGGATTTGTGATAATTGTGTGTCCGACTGAGAATGTTTAATGTTTGTGTGCCCAATTATGAATATGTGTTTATGCTATGATGTTAAACGTGGAAATGTGCTTTCATATGATTTTAAATAAATATATGAATTGACTATTGAGAAATGTTTATGATGCATTTACATATATGTGCTCATGTATTTCATAGTACGTGTTGGCCAAGTGGGTCTTCGCGGGGTGTGATTATCGGGAACGGATCCACCTTAATCATGCGGGATTTATTGAGTCGATGCTATTCATTTAAGGACGAGTCATCATGAGGAGATGCCTCATTATGGGGATGGACCACAAAAATTAATAGGAGATGCCTATGACTCTCTGCGGAGAGGTTAAATTCTGAAATTCATGCATGTGAGGAGGAACCCGATTAGGGAGAATCACACTCATATAGAGTCTGCATTAGAATTTTTTTGTGCATCCTTTTATTTGTTGAAATAAATACTGTGACGGCTATATATCATATTTTACTTGCATGTGTGTATTCTTTCATATATGCTATTTTTAGATCATGACCCTCTATTATTATTATTATTGAATGGGCTAAACGCCCCAGATTCTTAGAGGTTTGAGTTGTTCTTAAAGACGTGGCGAAACAGTTATTGGATCGATGATCTAAAGCAGTAAGGATAGATGCCACTCGAGGGTTTAGTACCCAATCATCTTCAGTTAGAGTCTAGAGATCAGTTTAGGGGTTGTTGTTCAAGTCTTGTTACTCTTCTTTACTGTTTTCTTTGTAACTTGTTTTGAGATAAACTATGTTTATTTATTTGTTGAAATAAAAATTGTCATTATGTTCTTTTAGACATTATGTTTGATTTGTATTATGGAATCTTTCAATGAGAAGACAATTTATAACAAATGCCTTGTATTATGATCATTGTCTTACAAAAGCTTTACTCTGATTTATTTTAAGATGATCACAAATGTTTTTATTTCAAAGACTCTGTTATTTTAAGAAAGAAAAAAAAATACACTTCCGCTGTTAAAAATTGGGGTATTACATCAATGACGGGGGAGCTTCAGTATTTACTATGCCTACAAATACATCAAGCAAAAGAATACACATTTATCACCAGCAGTTGCATCTCCATGTACCACTCTAGTTATCTCTTTGAAGTTGCGTCAAGTGGGACAATATCCCCGACCTAACCTAGATCCTCGAATAAGGATACAGATTGTTTCTGCAGAAAAATGTCTTTCAGAGAAAAACCATCCATCCTATAAACATAGGACCCGAAGTCTGACAAGAAGTGGCTTTTACGCCAAAACTTGGAGAATAAATCTGAGCATCGGTAAGGGACCTGAGATCTATGAAGCATATCTTAGCGTGAGCTTCTTTGTTGAGGGGGTAGACTATGAAGAACTCATTCTTGAAGTGTTCCATATTATCCGATTAAACATTGAACATCTTGTTGCACTGCTGAAGAGATATCAAACCCCGACCCTTTGCTGAAGCAGCAGAGCTACGCCAAGCTTTGAAAACATGTACGAAAAGCGTCAAAGTTGGCACACACTTCTTATATTAACACCAATATTAAAATAATTTGACGTAAGCCCAACTCACCAAATGCAATTGCAAATGAGAAATTAACAAGTGGTTAAGAACGCTGATATAGAAATCACTGGAAGGAAGACAAAGGCCTATCACAGAAAATGAACACCCGCAAATAGGAATGACGTGCCTATCATACTTGTTGCACACCTTCTTATCATCGCCAGGAGCAAACACTCTCTAGTCGGATGAAGGCCCCTCCCTCGGTAAAAGCATATTCTAAACCGCCATCATCAATGAAAGTATAGATGACATCCAACGTCTTTTGATCCATCCACGGTGACGAATTGTCCCTTTTTGCCTTATAGATTATGGTACAAGGAATCTATGTTATGAGGAATATTGTCAATACAGAAAAGGAAAATACGTAGAAACAACATAATACACATTCAAGGATAAATATTTAGCAATATGTTTAAACATGCCAATAACATAAATTCGAACATTAGAAACATACTCTCAGGAAACCCTAATAAAGAAAGTAGAAGTAAAAATAAGTGAAAATACAAACCTTACCCTAAAGAAGCAAAGTCCATCATCTATGTGTCGCAAGTACCGTCTAACATGATGTCACAATGATTACGATACAGAAGAGGAAGAGCTTCTATAGTTTGCAAATGATGAAAAAAAGGGGAAAACAATACTTTAGGAACTCTTTATATGTGCTCAAACCAAAGAGAACCATACGATCCACTATATTGGGAAGCTCAAACTACACTATCAATGGTTAGAATCTCCTCGCAAATAGTTTTAGGCACCCAAGTATTCTAAGATAAAAGAGACATCATTATTGACTACTGTAGGGACCTGCGCATAAGCTCCTTGCAAAATATTACCCATTACAAGAAAGACATTTATTGTGTTTGTTCGCATTGAAACTGACGTCCCATCAAAACTCTTCATATAAGGAGAAAAACATGTCATTTCAAGTATTCAAATTCATTCTTACTCTAACATTACTCCTCATTCTCTCACTAACTTAAGCATTAGAGAGCTAACCTCGCAGGTTAACCCCCTCACCACCACATCGAAAACTTACTTTATCGATCAGAGATCTTATCACTATTTCACCATATTTATCCCTTAATTCTTCAAAATATACCATGTTAATAGTCTTTTTTGTGTAATTAACAACCTATTTAATGATCAATTTCTGTGTTTTTTCGTCGTTTATTAAATGAAAAGGATTAACATAATACATTTTAAAAAGTTAAAAATCAATATAAATTTTTTAAAATTAAAGAACAAAAATAAACTTCGTAATTAACATATGAGACAATATATATATATATATATATATATATATATATATATATATATATATATATATATATATATATATATATATATATATATATATATATATATATATATATATATATATATATATATATATATATATATATATATATATATATATATATATATATATATATATATATATATATATATATATTGTTTTTGTAATTTTAATATAATAATAAAATTCTTAAAACAACATTTTAAAAATAATTATCCAAACCAAAATTTCATTAAAATTTTTTTATTTCAATTTATATAAAACCCTAATTGACACAAATTACCAATTGAAAAGAACGCAAGAAAGCGAGTCGATCATGAGAGCAATGGACTTGTTCGGAGAGATGGAGGACCAGATAACGACGATGGCGATGGACGTCGACGACGTCGACAATTTCGAGGTCTTGGCCGATGGCATTGGCGGCAACGATTCCAAAGTCGCCGATTCCGATTTCTTCAACTCCTTCCATGACGATTTCGATGACGCTGATATCAACTAGTGCCTGTTCTTCTTATTGATGATTAGTACATCTCTGTTTCCTGTTTTCATCTTCATGACAGATATTGCTGTGGTTTGTTTCTTGGATTTTTGTGTTAATTTGATATGACGGTGATGACTGTTTTCTGATTAATCAACTCAATCTCATGTTTAGAATTTTGCGATTTCACATGTGTTCTGTTTAATTTGTTTTGTATGTGCGATTGATTTTGAATTTTGATTGTTGGTGATTTTACAAACGGTATTTTTAGGTTATTCTCTTGTTCAGATTGGTATTCCTTTTAGAAGTGATAACAGTAGCAGGTTCTATAAGGTTTTAAAAAACGGCCGCAGTTGCGGTTTCGATCGGTACGGCCGCAGTCTAAATTCGTCACAATTTGTTCTTTAACATAAAAACTGTGAGTAATAGTATCGGTGCTTATACCGTTTTGTCGCGGTGGTTGTTTTCGCGGTTGGGGATTGTTTTTTAAAACCCTAGGGCTATTTGCTGAACAATAGAGTTATATTCAAATTCCACTATGCTAATAACCTCTATTTGACAGCACTTCCCTCTAGTTAGAAAATCTTGCATTAGCTGCTGTTGTTTGTTTTAGGCTGCTTGATCAATAGGCAACGACTCACATTTCAACGGTATACTTTGAATTGGTTGAAATTTGAACTTTTGGATTTTGATCGGACTATCTGAGAAGTATGACTGTAACAAATAACTGATTATTGAACTGTAGAAAATTCATGTTTGAACCTATTCTTGGTATCAGTAGTTTCTGAAGTATTATTGAACTAGTTGGTAAGTTAACAGTTGAAAGGTTACAATGTTCGTTTGGGATTGATCTAGGGGTAGAATACATGCATCTTCTTTGATTTCCCAAAATTGCAATTTGCTAACAGAACTGGTCTCTTCATTTCTCATGCAACCTTACTTCCAAGCTTAAATGTGAGTTCGTTTTGATATCATGTTATAAGCACACCACCTTTTGTTTCTGGTATCTATATATCTAGCAAATAGCTAAATACTACTTGATTCTTAGAGATAAGAGAAGGATTGATCGACATTGTCATGAACCATGTTAACCTCCAACAATCATTGTTATGAGGAATAGCAACTTTCTAAACCCAACAACTGATTGTACAGGGTGCCAAGCTTGCAAATCATGTGTATAACACTCACAAATGACAATGAGTGACACATGGATGTTGCTGTAAAATAGCTATCTTAAGCTACCTCACTCACAATTAAGGAATAAGATGAGTTTGGTTGGAAGTCAAAAGTTAAGATTGTGGTCTATCATAGTTTGAGTCTAGTTTTTTCAAAAGTTTGATTTGACATTTACACTTTAGAAGTATATTTCATGTACTTAAACAAGTAGTATGACATGTATTTAAATATATTAAGGAATTAATAAACTAATAAGGTTAAACTCTATTTTATTACTCTCTTCGTCTCTTCCTCTCAAAATAAGTGTTGCACTTGACACTTTCACACAAATTAAGAAAATATAATAAGTAAAATAGAGAGAATTGTGATTTTACCAAATTATCTCTATTGTTTATTGGTGTATGTTAATTATCATTGCAATATGAGAGAAATAATAAATTAAGAGTATTAATTAGAGGACTGAATTGGAAGATAAAATATAAATTTGCATTGGAAGATTTAAAAAATCAACATATTCATAATATTAAATTATAATACTTCGAATGTTATTCTCAGAAACATTATTTCCATGAATATTTTTCAAATGATTTAAATTTTCAGTAATATTTAGAAAATATATTTAATTTAAAAATTAAAAATTAAATTTTAAAATAAAAAATAAGGATAAATAAATAAAAATGAGAAATTATAGGTGGTTATATATATTTTTTTTATGGGAATATAAGATTCGCATTCTTTTACCTGTCAATAGAAAAATTCTGAGGTCCTAAATTATTTAAAATGTTAGCAAATTTCTAGATATTTAATATATTAACAAAAATGAAATTAAATATATTAAAAGTTAATGTAGGTTAATATGAATTTTAAAATAATATTTTAAAATAAAAAATAAGGATCTAAATAAATAAAAATGAGAAGTTAGAGGTGATTATATTTTATTTTTATGTATTGGAATATAAGATTCGCATTCTTTTACATGCAAATGGAAAAATTCTAAGGTCCTAAATTATTTAAAATATTAACAAATTTCTAAATGTTTAATATATTAACAAAAATAAAATTAAATATTAAAAGTTAATGTAGGTTAATATGAACAAGTTATTAGAAATATAAACCAAATTATAAATTATAATTTTTTTTTTGTTTTAAAATAAAATATAATTAAATGTCGTAAATATTAGATTGTAAATAGTAACATTTATAATTATTTTCTTTTATTAGCATGAAATTTATTAAACATGTTTGTTAGGTTTACATTTATTTTTATTTAAGCAAGTTTATTTCAATACTAAAAATTACAATTTCAAAATATACTTTCTCTATCTTAAAATGTAAAAGAAATAAAATGTATTTTTTGTTTATAAAATATAAGAGAAAAAGTCAACTTTCTTTTGGACAAGAAAGAAAAACTTATGGATAATTTTTTAGGTGTGGTTTTTACTATTTTTTAATGAAAATATGATAAGTATATTTAAACATCATTTGAGAAGTGAAAATATGAGCAATTTACATATATGTAAGAGAAAATTATACATTTATCGTATTTTCATTTGAAAATAATAAAAACCACACCTAAAAAATTGTACCTAAGTTATATCTCTTTTTTTTTTAAAGATAAAATTAAATGCAAATTTTATTTAATTAACTCTTTCTTTCATCTTTTCTGTAATCAACTATCACTCGAAATTGTTTTTATATTTTGTTAAGAAATTTATTATAAGAAAATTGTAAGTCAATCATTATATTTTTAGTTTTCTTAATAAATTTGATTTTTATTTTTTCTCTCTTATATTTTAGAACAAAGAATATTAAAATATTTTTCTTTTACATAATATCACGAGCCATAATTTTGAGTATCTTGCTTTTGCTTAAATTCTACTCGTCGACATTTCATTTTAATTATATGTCTTAATTATAGATAGGGGTGGGTCTAAGTCTATAATTAAGATGATTAGACTAAATTATTATATTTAGTCGAGTTAGGCTTTGTCGAGTCTAAGTCAATCTTACTAAAACAATTGAGTCTGGTTTTTTTAAAGATCTGATCAATATTTTAAAAATTGGATTAGACATCAAATCGGTGGAAGTACTGTGTCGTTGGTTCGTCGGTCAACCATTGTATTACTAGTCGAATCACATGACTAAACTGAATCAAACCAAATAATTCGATTGAATAAATTAGTCTATATAACAAAATTAGATATTTATTAAATCGGTCAAATTAGATGACTCAGTCTCTATAAAAGATTACGGCGCCTAAAATATTTCAAAAATTCAAAATATCATAATATTAGATGTTCATTATTTAAATTCAAGTTCTAAATATAATCATCACTCTCAACAAAATAATACAAAATACGATTTAAATAAATTTTGAATCATGTCTAATTGCAAACAAGAAAAAGTTGTTTTAAATAAGTTTCGAATAAAGTTTAATTATATTTTTTTTTTTTTTAAATAATGAAAATGACATCGTTTTGTCGAAGAAAAAAATTATGCATTTGAACCGTCGGTTCACCGATTTTGGCTGGTTCCCATCGATTTAATAAAATGACAGGTCCTGTAATCAGACCAGATCAATAATCCCTCTATTTTCCAGTTTGATCCATCTGACTGACCAGTTCAATTCGATTTTTAAAATACTGAATCTGATTGACCCCTTAACCTACTCAAAAGTCTATGTCATTTGAATTTATGGAAATAACTCAACAAACTAATATTTAAATAGACTAATTAACTAAAAGATAAATAAAATTAAAAAATTTATTATTGATTTATCTAATATTTAAGAAATTAATATAAATGACTTATGACAATGTGATGAGAACCACATGAATAAATTAAGAGTAATAAGAATATATTTATAGAAGACGTTATAATCGCGTTAAACACTTAATTGATAAGTCAAAAAAGACGACACAATTGATTACGGAAGTTCCGAACAATACATCAAATATTTAGTGCCACAAAAAATCGATAAGTTAGAAGAAAGGAGAGCATAAACCCTACTTTTTTACTATATCAAAATCTATTTATATTACATGAGAGAAAATTGTAATTTATAGACTTTTTAACCGAGTAAACCAATAGATCATAACAAAATTAAAATAACAACTAATAATAGTTTTAGATTTAAATTAATAAATATTAAATTAATCTAAATATATTTCTAATATCCAGTAGATCTCGTTTTAAAATACATCACTAAAATGATTTAAGCATTATAAGAATTCTTAGATTAAAGTAATGAAGTAATAAACTTGAAAATTCAAATTACCAAGATAGAGGCTGAATTGTAAGTCATAAACCATGCACCATATAATCTCAATAAATATATGATAGTGCTAGGATAATGGATCATTCACTTGTGGAATTAATATCCACTTATGTAAGAAATTCACCCGTTATCCATTTCACCAGTTTCCACATATAAAATAATTTTATTTTGCCCTTGTTTTTCTCTTTCTTTTGAAACTTTTTTGTTATTTTCTACCATCATTTGAAAGAGATAGTTTTTCTCAATCCCTCTATTATTTTTTTTTCATGTATTTTTTTCTCTATTCTTCTCTATTATAATTTTTTTAAAATTTTTTGAATTTGATCTTGATCATTTTTTTCTAAAATAAGAATAATTTGGTGGTTTTTAAAATAATAATAAATATCTATTTGTGAGAAGATCATGCTTTGGTCGATGTTGTTGATGCCATGAAAGTTAGAGTAATGAATCTTTAATTTTGGTAGGCACCACATCACATAGTACCTGATCTTTATATTCTTCAAGTGTGAATAACACTCGTACTTGTGTGTGTTGGGGG